GGCAGATAGTGAGATAAAGAGACAGACAAGCCCAGCTAAAAGGAAAGGGAAATAGGAAAGGGGAAGGAAAAAGTAAGAAATGACAGATAGGAAGGGGGATGATGACAAACTTGGAGGATGAGGGATAGATTTGAGAGAGAAGGATGAGCCATTGTGTGTGTGTGTGTGTGTATTAGAGTAGAAGTAGGGGAGTGAGTTGAAGTATATTGTATCATGAAGTACGCCTTATATATGTAGCTCAGAACATGGAAGGACAGTTTTGTGTATAGGAAATCTTGTCAGCTGAACGCTGCTCACACTAACAATACTTTGCCTGGCATGTTGTATAGTATAAATTATGATTAAGAGGTTTATGTAGAATATACAAAAGATAACTATGCCACCTGAGGGGGTGAGATTAGGAGGGGAAAACAATTCTATACAGACTCAATCTGGAAGAGGGAAGCAATGTCACATGTGGCTACATGATTTGTTCTTTGTTGAATCTCAGGCACCACATGCTAGAGACAGGTAAGACTATGGGCTAAGGAACATATAACTTGAGACATCAGGAATGTGTGTATGGCAGGTGGGATAGATATAAGTAGTAGAGAATGAGGAAAATGGGGGTGGATAGTCTGGGGGGAGAGTGGAGGGGTCATGAAAGAAATAAAGATCTGGAAGATCCCTGGGGGCTCTTCCAATTCAGTCCCCCTCCCCCTTCACATTCATGTTACCTTTCCCCTAAACCCTCCTAACCCCACTCCCTTTTCCCAGAACCATGGTCTCCTAGCCCCCAGCCTTCGGTTCTCCCTCCCAGCCTCAACCTTTCCTGCCTTCGGCAGAAACACCAGCTCGTTCTTCTAAGCCCTGGGGGCTTCCCCGGCCAGGCTAGGGCCCTGAACCCTCCCGCCCTGCTGCCGCTTCCTCTATAAAGGGACCCAGGCGTCCGGGCCCAGGAAGCCCAGCTCATAGCAGGTAGGGGCCCCTGGCTGAGACACTCCTGAACCCTGAGCCATTCCCCCTGGCCCTTAAAACCCCCTGATTCCACATTCTCTCACCATAGCTTCCTGTGTCTATTATTTCCACCTGCCTCTCTCTGGGTCTGCCTTGGGCTCCGTCTCTACCTCATTCTTTCTGGGTCTCTGACTTTCTCTCTTTCAGTCTCTTTCAATCTGCTTCTGTTTCTGTTCCTCTCTGCCTGTTTCTGTTTCTCTGTCTCATTTCTCATTTCTGTCAATTAGTCTCTCTCTGTACTTCTGTTTTTCTCTCTACATGTGTCTCTCTCGGTATCTTTGTCAGCTTCTTTATGTCAGTATGTTTTCCATATCTTCCCTTTTCTGTCTCTGTGCTTATTTCCCATTTCCTTTCCCTCTTTCTCCCCCTCCCTCCTCCCCATTATCTCCACCCTGGGCCCTTCTCCACTTTCTCTTTCTCTCTCCCCAGGTTCTCCCCATGACCTCATCTGGAGTCCTGTGCCTCCTGGGGGCGCTGTGCCTCCAGGTGCTTTGGCTGCAGCTATCAGGGGCTCAGGTGAGAGGCAACAGGACGGGATGACCTGGGGGTCAGGAGCTTAAAGGGGCAAGAAAGAAATCTTGGCCCTCTGGTACCTTCTTAACCATGTTCTTTCATAGGGGGCTCCCAATCCTGATAACTCCCACTCATCTAGCCCAGCCCCACCTCAGACACCTCAGCATCTCAGCCAGAAGAGCCCAAAAAGAGACACCCTCAAACCAGCTGCCCACCTTGTTGGTAAGAATCTAGGTGTTACACCTTCTCCACTTCCCTCCTAAACCCAAGCATCCAGCTCCCAGTTTCCCACCCTCCCCTCAGTGACCTGTACATTTGTTCTCCCCAGTCCCATAACACTCCCTGACTTCTGTGTCTCTCCCCTAGGAGATCCCAGCACCCAGGACTCTATACATTGGAGGGCAAGCACAGACCACGCTTTCCTCCGACATGGCTTCTCTCTAAGCAACAACTCCCTGTTGGTCCCCACAAGCGGCCTCTACTTCGTTTACTCCCAGGTTGTCTTCTCAGGAGCCAGCTGTTCTTCTGAGATTACTCCTACCCTACTCTACCTGAGCCATGAGGTGCTCCTCTTCTCCTCCAAGTACCAGGTTCATGTACCCCTCCTGAGTGCCCAGAAGTCTGTGTGCCCAGGGACCCAAGGACCCTGGATGAGATCAGTCTACCAAGGAGCTGTGTTCCTGCTCACCCAGGGAGATCTGCTTTCCACTCATACAGATGGTGTCTCTCACCTGCTCCAGTCCCCTAGTAGTGTCTTTTTTGGGGCCTTTGCACTATAGAGAAAGAGAAAAATAAAGAGGAAAATGGCTTCAAGGCCCACCTCCATGGCCCTTTCCTCTATTCTGAAAGTTTCAAGGGTCCACACCAACATTCCCTGCTTCCACCATTGCTTCGGTTTCTTTCAAGTATTTCCCTTCTCTGTAACCTCCAGAGATGGAATTCTGGGTGGTGTGAAGGCTCTCCAGAATGGGGGTTGAGGTGAAGGCAACCAAACACCCCACTACCCCTGAACCACTGCCAGATGCTGGACTGAGAATTTCAAGTCTAACCAGAACTACCTAGACAAAAGTAATTTGGTTGGCTGGCTCATAGTCTGAATGGGGTTTAAGACTGGCCATGGAAGGAAAAAGGAAAGAAAGGGTGTGTAGGGTGGGTATCAGGGGTTGGTTGGGACAGGGAATGGGGGAAATTATTTATGAATGGTGATTATTAAATTATTTATTTATAAAGAAGCAGAGAATGGGAAGAGGGAGATAGAAAGACAGAAAGATATCTCAGGGAGACATATCAGGTAGACACACAGGCAAAAGAGAAAAAGTAGAAAAGGAATGAGGGAGGGAGGGAGTGTTTCAGGTGAAAAGGAGAAGGGCTTGTAAAAATGGGGACAACAGAGTGCTAGGGACCCTATCTGGACCTATGCCCTCAGCAAAGTTCAATAAATATTTTTCCTCTGAGATGTCTGTCTGTCTTTCTATCTCCCTCTTCCCATTCTCTGCTTCTTTATAAATAAATAATTTAATAATCACCATTCATAAATAATTTCCCCCATTCCCTGTCCCAACCAACCCCTGATACCCACCCTACACACCCTTTCTTTCCTTTTTCCTTCCATGGCCAGTCTTAAACCCCATTCAGACTATGAGCCAGCCAACCAAATTACTTTTGTCTAGGTAGTTCTGGTTAGACTTGAAATTCTCAGTCCAGCATCTGGCAGTGGTTCAGGGGTAGTGGGGTGTTTGGTTGCCTTCACCTCAACCCCCATTCTGGAGAGCCTTCACACCACCCAGAATTCCATCTCTGGAGGTTACAGAGAAGGGAAATACTTGAAAGAAACCGAAGCAATGGTGGAAGCAGGGAATGTTGGTGTGGACCCTTGAAACTTTCAGAATAGAGGAAAGGGCCATGGAGGTGGGCCTTGAAGCCATTTTCCTCTTTATTTTTCTCTTTCTCTATAGTGCAAAGGCCCCAAAAAAGACACTACTAGGGGACTGGAGCAGGTGAGAGACACCATCTGTATGAGTGGAAAGCAGATCTCCCTGGGTGAGCAGGAACACAGCTCCTTGGTAGACTGATCTCATCCAGGGTCCTTGGGTCCCTGGGCACACAGACTTCTGGGCACTCAGGAGGGGTACATGAACCTGGTACTTGGAGGAGAAGAGGAGCACCTCATGGCTCAGGTAGAGTAGGGTAGGAGTAATCTCAGAAGAACAGCTGGCTCCTGAGAAGACAACCTGGGAGTAAACGAAGTAGAGGCCGCTTGTGGGGACCAACAGGGAGTTGTTGCTTAGAGAGAAGCCATGTCGGAGGAAAGCGTGGTCTGTGCTTGCCCTCCAATGTATAGAGTCCTGGGTGCTGGGATCTCCTAGGGGAGAGACACAGAAGTCAGGGAGTGTTATGGGACTGGGGAGAACAAATGTACAGGTCACTGAGGGGAGGGTGGGAAACTGGGAGCTGGATGCTTGGGTTTAGGAGGGAAGTGGAGAAGGTGTAACACCTAGATTCTTACCAACAAGGTGGGCAGCTGGTTTGAGGGTGTCTCTTTTTGGGCTCTTCTGGCTGAGATGCTGAGGTGTCTGAGGTGGGGCTGGGCTAGATGAGTGGGAGTTATCAGGATTGGGAGCCCCCTATGAAAGAACATGGTTAAGAAGGTACCAGAGGGCCAAGATTTCTTTCTTGCCCCTTTAAGCTCCTGACCCCCAGGTCATCCCGTCCTGTTGCCTCTCACCTGAGCCCCTGATAGCTGCAGCCAAAGCACCTGGAGGCACAGCGCCCCCAGGAGGCACAGGACTCCAGATGAGGTCATGGGGAGAACCTGGGGAGAGAGAAAGAGAAAGTGGAGAAGGGCCCAGGGTGGAGATAATGGGGAGGAGGGAGGGGGAGAAAGAGGGAAAGGAAATGGGAAATAAGCACAGAGACAGAAAAGGGAAGATATGGAAAACATACTGACATAAAGAAGCTGACAAAGATACCGAGAGAGACACATGTAGAGAGAAAAACAGAAGTACAGAGAGAGACTAATTGACAGAAATGAGAAATGAGACAGAGAAACAGAAACAGGCAGAGAGGAACAGAAACAGAAGCAGATTGAAAGAGACTGAAAGAGAGAAAGTCAGAGACCCAGAAAGAATGAGGTAGAGACGGAGCCCAAGGCAGACCCAGAGAGAGGCAGGTGGAAATAATAGACACAGGAAGCTATGGTGAGAGAATGTGGAATCAGGGGGTTTTAAGGGCCAGGGGGAATGGCTCAGGGTTCAGGAGTGTCTCAGCCAGGGGCCCCTACCTGCTATGAGCTGGGCTTCCTGGGCCCGGACGCCTGGGTCCCTTTATAGAGGAAGCGGCAGCAGGGCGGGAGGGTTCAGGGCCCTAGCCTGGCCGGGGAAGCCCCCAGGGCTTAGAAGAACGAGCTGGTGTTTCTGCCGAAGGCAGGAAAGGTTGAGGCTGGGAGGGAGAACCGAAGGCTGGGGGCTAGGAGACCATGGTTCTGGGAAAAGGGAGTGGGGTTAGGAGGGTTTAGGGGAAAGGTAACATGAATGTGAAGGGGGAGGGGGACTGAATTGGAAGAGCCCCCAGGGATCTTCCAGATCTTTATTTCTTTCATGACCCCTCCACTCTCCCCCCAGACTATCCACCCCCATTTTCCTCATTCTCTACTACTTATATCTATCCCACCTGCCATACACACATTCCTGATGTCTCAAGTTATATGTTCCTTAGCCCATAGTCTTACCTGTCTCTAGCATGTGGTGCCTGAGATTCAACAAAGAACAAATCATGTAGCCACATGTGACATTGCTTCCCTCTTCCAGATTGAGTCTGTATAGAATTGTTTTCCCCTCCTAATCTCACCCCCTCAGGTGGCATAGTTATCTTTTGTATATTCTACATAAACCTCTTAATCATAATTTATACTATACAACATGCCAGGCAAAGTATTGTTAGTGTGAGCAGCGTTCAGCTGACAAGATTTCCTATACACAAAACTGTCCTTCCATGTTCTGAGCTACATATATAAGGCGTACTTCATGATACAATATACTTCAACTCACTCCCCTACTTCTACTCTAATACACACACACACACACACAATGGCTCATCCTTCTCTCTCAAATCTATCCCTCATCCTCCAAGTTTGTCATCATCCCCCTTCCTATCTGTCATTTCTTACTTTTTCCTTCCCCTTTCCTATTTCCCTTTCCTTTTAGCTGGGCTTGTCTGTCTCTTTATCTCACTATCTGCC